CTTTGAAAGGAGATTGCGCCGAGTTTGTCAAGAAGTGCGTACAATGTCAAAAGCATGGAAACATCATACACGCTTCGGCCACAAAGTTGCACAGTATCATCTCCCCATGGCCGTTTGCTTTATGGGGTATAGACGTGCTGGGACCATTCCCTGTGGAAAAGGGGCAAGTTAAATTCCTTCTCGTTGCGGTGGATTACTTTACAAAATGGATAGAAGTTGAACCGCTGGCCTGCATCTCCGCTGCTAATGTTCAGAAGTTTGTTTGGAAAAATCTGGTTACACGCTTCGGCATCCCGTACGCCATTGTTTCAGACAATGGTCTCCAATTCACCGACAAAAAGTTCAACATTTTCCTCGAAAACCTTGGCATTCGGGATGGGTTCACCTCAGTCGAGCATCCGCAGTCAAACGAGCAAGCCAAAACAGCCAACAAGGTTATACTCGCTGAGCTCAAAAAGAGACTCGGCTCGGCCAAAGGAGCATGGGCCGAAGAGTTATCGGAAGTCCTTTGGGTATACCGCTGCACACCACAGTCAACCACCAAAGAGACGCCTTTTCGCCTAACGTACGGCGCGGACGCGATGATCCCGGTTGAAGTGGGAGAACCGTCCTTTAGACGACAGCATTTCCATGAAGACTCTAATGACAGCTCACTCCGGGCCGAACTCGATGTTCTCGATGAACTACGAGAGAAGACACAGGTAGTGGCGGAAGCATGCAAACAACGCATGACCCGACGCTTTAATTCCAACTTAAAGCCAAGGACATTCCATGAAGGTGATCTCGTATGGAGAGCAACCGGTTCGGCGAGGCGCAACTCTTCTGACGAAAAGCTCGCAGCCAATTGGGACGGCCCGTTCCGGATCAGGCACGCCCTACACAATGGAGCGTACAAGTTAGAGGAACTATCCGGCAAGATTATCCCTCGGACATGGAATTCTACTCATTTGAAGACCTATTACAGTTAGAATTTAACTCATGTCCCTCTGAAAATGTATAATGATGCACTCTTTTCCTTGAACCGGTCTTTTGTCCTCTTAAAAAATTGTGAAAAGAGGTTTTGGCCGGCAAGGTTTTTAATGAGGCATCCATTCAATCAATACCAAGATAGTTCAATCATCTATGACTTACTTTAAATTCCTGCAATTTTATTTCCAATCACAAGTCTTCCCTCCCGAGATCTCTCTCGGCCAAGGACGCGGCTTTAATTATTTAACAAGTCTTCCCTCCCGAGATCTCTCTCGGCCAAGGACGCGGCTTTAATTATTTAACAAGTCTTCCCTCCCGAGATCTCTCTCGGCCAAGGACGCGGCTTTAATTATTTAACAAGTCTTCCCTCCCGAGATCTCTCTCGGCCAAGGACGCGGCTTTAATTATTTAACAAGTCTTCCCTCCCGAGATCTCTCTCGGCCAAGGACGCGGCTTTAATTATTTAACAAGTCTTCCCTCCCGAGATCTCTCTCGGCCAAGGACGCGGCTTTAATTATTTAACAAGTCTTCCCTCCCGAGATCTCTCTCGGCCAAGGATGCGGCTTTAATTATTTAACAAGTCTTCCCTCCCGAGATCTCTCTCGGCCAAGGATGCGGCTTTAATTATTTAGGGTCTTCCCTCCCAAGGTCCCTTTCGGCCAGGTGCACCGGTATGACAGCAAACAAGATTCACATTCATTGATAAAGGCGCTATCGGCCTAAAAGGATACATTAAAAAAGGGGGCACTACCGGCCCAACATTACAAAAACAAGAAAAAAGCTCAAGACCTAACCTCCGGTTCCCCCTGAACCGGACCATCCTCCGGCACACCCTCCTCGTACGCCGTCACCTCCTCATTCAGCCCAGCTGGCCGTGCTGGGGCCTCCTCATCGGCTTGTTGGTCAGGAGGGATAGAAGTCAGGTCCACCAACTTCCCCTGGAAGAAGTCCTTGGTCATGTCCAAGTGGAATTCAGGGGGGGAGTCGCCGAAGAAGCATGCTTGTCGGGCGGCCAGAGCAAAGCCAGCCTGATGTTGAGTTAAAACCTTGTTGCGCGCTTTCTCCTGGTAAGCCCCGAAGGCAATCCTCTCGGCCTCCAGCTCCTTGCTCAGAACTGCAACCTTCTCTGTTTCGCCCTTCAAAGCAAGTTCAAGGCGCTGAACCTTTAAAGCCAGGTCATCAGTCGTTCGACCCCGGCGATCCACCTCAGCCTGGTACTTGGTGTTGGCCGTTTGGGCATCAGTAAGCACCGCCAACGTCTCTTGAAGAGACTTCTCCTGCTCAGCTAGCTGCCGACGCAATCCATCGGCCTCGCCATTCGGCTCCATCACGATGCTTTGGGCTAAAGCCACAACACGCACTTGGAATTCACAGAAGAAGCTCCATTTCTGAGCCGAGGTCATACGACTCAGCACCCCCTGATTCAGAGGTCAAGTCTTGGCTCAGAAAATCCTGAGCGTTGACATTGCCGGGCAGAAAACTCGGCCCAGCCAAGCTTTCTGGAACAGGTGAACTCGCCACTCGGCGCTGCTTGGCCCGGCGGCTCTCTTCCTCGGCCCTGGGGTCAGGCCTTCTTTTTTCAGGCTGGGGCCGAGAGGGTTTTTTCGGTCTGACTGTTGGCCCCGCTCCACTACCTTGGGCAGACGGCTGATTCCCGCGCACACCGGTCAGGGCCCTGTTCGTAGTAGTTGCCGCCACTTGATTCCTGATCAGTGTGCGAATATCCAAATCGTCCTCTCCGTGGTTTGCCATGATACCTGCACATCATTAGTCAAAATCAATGATAACGCAAGAATTTAAAAAAAGTAAGAAAGGTACTATACCAATCAATTCTTCAACTACGTCGGCCGATTCACACAACCGAACCAGAGGACGGCACGGTAAAGGCCGAGGCAACTTCTCCAAAAAATTCAGACTCAATCTCTCTTCCGGGGACATTCAGGATTTGGAGACCGTGTCGTACTTCCTCGGCTTCCGAGTCCAGTACAATGGAAACAATGATCTCCCTTCGACATCAAAAAAAAACTTGTTCCCTAGCTCTGGCCGAATCATCACTTTCATAAACCCTACTTTAAAATTTTTATAAGAGGTGGTGAAAGGCTGTAGCAGGCAATCACTGTGCCGAACCAGGGACAACCACTTAATCTTCTTCGTCGGCCGAGACGAATAGAAGTGTAGGAACAGATGTGGAGTGGGTCGGATGCCAAGAGCCAAGCATAACTTCCTAAACCCTATAGCCGCCCAAGTGTTGGGGTGAAGCTGGCTCGGCACCACGTTCAGTAGGCGCAATATACTGACAAAATAATCATCAAAAGGTAGAGTGATCTTCAAATCCCGGAACATGTAATCATACACATAGAAGAACTGGTATTTGCTCGACCCTTGGTCCAAATATACGAAATCCGGGTTCGGCCCTCCATCACCTCTACACGGCTGAAAAAAGATAGCGGAGGGCTCCTCTTCCTCGGGAAAGGTCAAGAACTTCGCCGCCGATACGAAGCGGATCAGGGAGTTCTTATCGGTGTATCGTGAATATACGCTGCCAACCTCCCCGTGCACCCACGAATATCCAGGAGTTGATATAGGAGCAAAACTCCTGGACGATCCACCACCTCGGCTCGGCTGATCATCAGAAGCCATCGCCGATGAAGAGTGACTCCCACTTTGCGACCGTTCGGACCCGGGTGCGGACCCTGCATGATCCTCTCCGTTGGAAGCCGAGGCCGATACGACGTCTCGGTCCGGAGTCTCCCTCAACCCAGAATCACCCTCGTCCCCGGAGGAGTCAATATCAACAACATTTAAATCTGCCATTACGTACCTGAGTGTTGAACTTGACCAATTTTTGGTGAAGAATATGCGAATGCAGCAACTCAAACGATCTCGGTTCGGAGCAAGTAATAAATGCGTATGTTTGAGGACCCCCCCAACATGCCTATTTATAGGCAGTCTCCGCAAGTTACCAAGAGACACCCCTCTGCACACCATTGGATCACTCAGATCCAACGGTTCACGATGCGTAACCCTTCGCGCACGTCTTTAATACCCAACGGTTATAACCCTTGGTATTCCGACAACGGTTACGTCTCTCCATATTCCATTAGGTCATAACTCCTCGCGTGCGTCATTAATGACCAATGGTTACAACCCTTCATTTCCCTGAAGCAGTTGTAACCCTTGGCCTACCCTCAAAAAGGTAACCAACAAAGTGCTACATTTACCCTTTGCGTCATTATACTCCTCAAGGCTGGGGGGGCTTGTGTACCGAGAGGACCCTATCGGTCACGTTGACCAACACGTGTCGTTCCGTCAGACACCCATGCGAACTGGACCATACCCAAGGCTGACGTTAGCATCGGCTCGGCTTATAGCCGAAGGCCGAGATTAGTCAACTGGCGCATAACGGCTCGGCTGAAGGCCGATGCAAGCAGCATGATGCATTCCCGCATACTATGTATCGGCTCGGCCCAATGCCGATCCGATAGGATTACCAAGCAAACGTCTACCGGCATTAGCCTGTCGGCTCGGCAATGTGTCGATAGGTTAAACAGGTTATAGTACAAATCACAGTTAACAAGGATAAGTGCATAATTAAGACATGATTAGCTGATTAGCATCGTATTACCTAATTTGGTAAAGATTAGAACAGGCCCATCACGTTCAGGCCCATGTAAATAGGTCACACGTAACGAGGTACGTCACTATTCATTAATTACCCTAGAATATCGTGCATATCCTAACTTGAGCGTCGGAGTACCTTTTGCAGGTACCTCCCCCCTCTGAAGAGTCCGTTTAAAGCATCCGTTCGGCCCTTCTCACTAAGAAGACTACGAGTGTACCCTCAGGCAGGTACATTAATTAAATGAAAAACTTTTTAATTTTATTAATAATGTTGGGTAAAACATTTAATTAGCTTCTAACTTTTTTTACTCTAACTCAACGAACGTTATCTTAAAACACTAGCTTCTATTCTTGTATATTATTTCTTATTTGACTTCTAAATATTTATTAAATCTTATTCTTACCATTTATAAAAAAGAAAATAATTATTAAATTTCCCCATTCCATCTTACTCTTTGATCTATACATGTGTTTAATAAATAATATTTTATTATTCTTATCTTTTACTCGTTTGCATGTGCGAAGTAAGACCTATCGAGTAGTCATCATCCCTCATCTCATTTCCATTAACAATTAAGTTCATCTCATTCTTATAATAATATAGTGCACCCACTGCATCACTTTTCTTTCTTTCTCCACCATTGCTCCCTTGTTCTTTGTTTTCTCCGAATCAAGGCAGGTTCGTGCTCGCGCACTATGCTTGTCGATGACCATGCTCCGTCACAATGTGTCCCAACTTCGTGAGGTAAAACCGCAACAAATTTCTGGCAATTTACCAACCACAAGAAAAATTAAAACCATTTTCTATTATGTGACAATATTAGTTAACGGAGTTAACACAAAGCAAAATGGTACATACCAAAATTAAAAGTGAATGTATAAACACTAAAATGGATTCTTTCTAGATAAGGACCAAAACATAAAAATGATACAAGTAGAAATATCAAATGAGTAATTTATGTTTTTGTATCCCAAATTCACTAGTTATTTAGGTTTCTATTTATTTATACCGTAGTAAAGGAGATTCTTCATTTAGTCATAATTTTCTTTATCTAAAATACCAATTGTTTTATTAAACAATTTTTTTTCAACAAAAGAAAATTAAAATTACAGTTGCAAGAGTGTTTCAATTATTCTTTAACCTTTCACTGTATAATTAATGTAAAGCTTCGTAATTATAATATACTCTTTCATTTTTTACACATTTTAATCTTAATTAAAAGTTAAAATAAAGATTAACAATGTTCATAGGGATACAGAATATATTCGAAAAGTAAAAGTCTAAAGCAAAGCCAATAAGAAGTCAGGCAACTCTATTTTCCAGAAATCACCAAATGGTGTCAATTTTCATAAGTAAAAAATTATTCGGCTTACACGTTTGGTATTAAAACTCGTGTAAACGCATGGATATTACCTAAAATTTGGTCATCAAATTTTCATTTTGTTTATATTTTATATAAATATAAAATTTTAAAATTATTTATTATTTGATTATACATATTCTAAACTTCACTTTTATTATCCTGCAATCCTGCAATATTTAAACTGTAATTTTAATCATTTAGATTATTGATTTCACAATTTTAGCTTTCAAATTTTATAAAATTTGTAATTTTTGTTTTAAATATTCATTCCTTAGCAGTTAAAATTGCAATATTAAACATGAGCTAACATTAAGTAAATATTTTTTTTTTCTTCTCATCAATATTCTAAGATTTCATTTTAGACTAGTCTAGCTGCACTGGAAGGTAAATAAAATCTAGCCAAAGAATTATTTTCTTCAAGGATTAAATTCAGACATTATCCAAACAATTCAACCTTTAATTCAACACATTAATTACTTATATCTAATTTCCTTATTTAACATTAAACAAAAATGATAATTAATATGTATATCAAAAGGTACTTTTATCCTTAATTTCTAACTATATAGAGTTCTTAAATCTGTCTTTTAGAGTGGGACATTGTCTTTCATTTCATTCTCAGCCTTTACATTTAATATAAAAATAGTGTCTTCTGCCGCTCACTAAAGTTTTTACGGACAAATTTTTTTTTTTTTATTTACATATTTGAACGGTCTACAAATAAAAAATAAAGATGGTTCCAAAAGATGTCATAATTTTTATCATTAAAAAATATATTTAGTTTATTTTTTTAATATAGAATTTTAAATCATGATAACAAAATCAATTTGAATGGAACTATCTCAATACTTTTTTTTCATTATTTTATTTATTGTATTTTAACACAACATATTAACATTATGATATATTTGTTAATATATAAAAATTTAAATAATGTTAAAAAGTCAAATCAAACTAAATAAAGCTTTCATTATATATTTTTTATTTTTATCACCTATTCTAAAAGGAAATATACTTTTTTTCCATTTTAGCTTTTATTACATTGATCTCATCTTAATCAACATAAAAGAAACATTTTTATTATCAATGAGTTTTCTTATTTTATCGCTTTGGAACAATTTTAAAAATAAAAAAAAAATCAGATAAAATGGAAATCAAGAGAGAAAAAAGAAAAAAAAATGATAAAAAGAATTATTAGTACTTCGTAAAGTTTATAGGATAGATAGCACAGATATAGAACTTTATTTAATACTAGTAATAGTCTATAGATATGTAAAAAAGGTGTAGCGGAATAGTTTGATAAGAAGTGGAAACCGGCTTACTAAATATGAATATAGTGCCCTCGTCATAAATTTGAACGTTTTGAGATAGAAACCCTTTCACTGCCAATTCTACGAAGCTGGCTCAAAATCTCGTCGAAATCTGCAGGCGGTTCGCATGAAAAGTGTACCTGCTCCCCTGTACGGGGATGCTGAAACCTACAAAACAATAGGCAAAACCTTGTCAAGTTTGTTAAACAAAGAGATGAGAAACAAGGTTTAACAAGTTAATAAGCTTTTTATCCTCTCACCCGAGAGTCAAAGCATGAAGGCAAGGCCTATCTAGCCCTGAAACCATTTTTATAATTTTGCTATGCAAACTCGTCGAAGTTCGGGGCCGTAGCAGTGACAAGACCATGTTTTTTGTCCCTCCATACACCTCATCACCCAATAGAGGAACTCCCAAATACTTAGCGTGAGCGCGAATCTACAAAAAAAAACATGGATTTTTTTTTTGGAAGGGAAATTATTAGTTTAGCAAATTCTAATGGAATATTCTTCACCAAATACATGTGATGAGAGGTTTTTCTTCTTCAAAATATCGGTATCTAAAAGAAAAAATGCCTTGTTACCATTTCATTCTTCAATTGATATAACATGCTAAATAATAACGTGAACAATGTTTCAATCCAGTATTGGGAAAAACTATTTCAACACATTCCATTAGTAGCCCAAAAATCTGGTTCAGGCAATAGTGAGGCATCTAAATGTACCATACCATGTATCATTTTTGCACAAAGTTATGTGTCATGAAGTACCTGATGAGTACGTCCAGTTTCCAACTTCCACTCAACCAATGAACAACTGCCCCCAGCAAGTATCTCAATTACTTTGTACCTGACATATGGTAAATAATCAACTTTTAGATGAAAACATAGCACTTGCTACGAAACCTTAAGGACATTCCACCATACGAAAGAAACCAAAACTATCATAATGATGAACCAATTACATGGATCACACTAAGTGAGATATTCAAGTAGTTCCTTTTGATTAATTGATTATAAGGGAAAACCCCAAGGATGAAATATCTTCTCGATAACAATTTCCAGTTAAATAAGTGAAACTAATTCCCCTAGAAATCTAATTGCAAGATCGCCTGGATTGAATAATAAAAAAGTTGGAAGTTCATGTTATGTGTACAAAAATTTTAAATTTATACAGTTCTTTTATTGATATATTTCAAATTTCATGATAATCAAATATGATAAGAAGCAACTAATATAATTCATATTGTTTAGTAAATAACTAAATATAAATTAAGTGTAAAAGTACCATAAATCACCTACTAGCAGCATGACGGGCCTTTCTAGAATTATTTGGTCCAGCTACAGCAGTCATACGGAGACGGTTATTAAGATCACGACCAACTGGAACTTCAACACGGCCAGCAACTGGAGCGGGTACCCCAGCAGTAATACTAACATAGACTCTCTTGATGGTACGTTGCTTGAATTGCTCTGACAATTTCATATGTGAATGCTCATCCTAATAACAAAGCATACAAATAACAGGTACAAAACCAAATGTCAATCTTTCAAAGTATGAACAAGAATCTTCACTTTTTACTAAGTTGGGTGCTAATGACAAGTTTTTGAGAAAATGTAAGAAACACCTTTGCAACAACAAGTAACCCACTCGTGCCTTTGTCCAATCTGTGCACAATCCCTGGGCGAATCGATGCCATAGACAATCTAGAATGTAACCCTTCACAAGAACTTGCAAGGGAGTCATAGCTATTGAACTCCTCATCGGAATCTTCTGTATCAGAAAGAGCTTCCTCTTTAGAAAATTCAACATTTGGAAGGTTGCAATGGTGAAGAATGCCATTGACAAGTGTCCCAGATGTGTTGCCAGGTGCTGGATGCACAACCTAGGAAGTAAATCAAATAATGAAATAGTCAATCTCACTATTAGATTCTATTAACAATGCCTTGTGAATATTTCTTATATGATTAGTAATTGGGGTTAAAAAGACAGATAACTTCATAATCATAAACCATACAAGTTAGGCTTAGAATTACCATGTGTGCAGGTTTATTTATGACAAGAACATGTTCATCTTCATAAACTATATCCAAAGGTATATTTTCTGGCACAGCCCTCAACTTCTGCAACTCTGCAATTGTGCACTTAATCTCATCTCCAGCTTTGACATTGAAAGAAACCTGCTCAAGCGTCACCAATTAAAATATGCCACTGATCCATGCAGCTCAAACACAAATTGAGAGGAAGACAGAACACTGTTAAAAACTACCAAGAGATGGATACATAGTTGCTAATTGTGCTGTAATGAATTTGAGAATGAGTCTTTTTTTTCTAAACAATGGATTGGGTATGGTACTTATCCAAGCTCTGCTCGTTGTGATACCTAAGTAAGCATCCTAACTATTGGTAGTTTCTTAAAGTCTCTGATCACAATTAAGAAAACCAGCATTACAGATTTAGTTTCAATTTCAACTACGCTGTCATTACCGCCATTACAGATTTAGTTTTAATTTCAATTTGGCTGTCACTACCGCTAGGAAACGCCTCCAATTTGGAAGCATCATCTTAAAATAGTGGAAACATTTTCTAAATTCTGAACACAACGCATTTCATATTCATCAATAAACCACGCATAAACAGGACATCTTCCACGATAGATAGATGCAGATTTATATTATTGCACAAATAGTTAAATGTGAAATAGCTTGGAAATTATCTTAAGGAGAAGCCAAACACACTCGCACACGCGAACCAAGTTAGTAATCTACATGAAATTGCAAATTCTCGCAGTTCTAAATACAAAACGGAAGTAAAATCAGCTTAGAACCTAATGCATAGATTACCTTATCAATGACACGGCCATTGACATGAACAAGTCCCGCTTTGATACTTGATTGCACGCGCGCTCTACTAATGCCGTTGATGCGAGAAGAGATCCAATTATCGAGTCTGAGTTTTCCAGATCCGATTTTGCTATCGACGGTCTCCTCCAATCGCGCACCAGAGAAGTTCAAATTTCGCTCTCCGTCGTAGTCCGAGTCGCCGGCGGAACCAGAAGCAGCGCTCGCGGTGACAGAACGAAATGTATTGCTCGTAGCAGAGAGAAAGAGTGAAGAAGAAGGTGAGGTTTGAAATTGAAATTGGAATTGGAATGCTCTGGATGTTGAAACGCGCCAACATCCACAAGAGTGAAACGACAGCATTTCTATTCTAATTCTTTTCACGTTTTCGTTGAATGGCTGGATAAAAACTGTGACGCAAAAGATGAAACCACCAAGCGTTACTTGGGTTGGGCTTGGGCCTAAGTCCGAAAGGAACGCGCCGGATGGTGCAGAAGGAACTGAGACCCACTTTCTAGTAAAGAAATTAATATATAGAAATTTTTTATTGGAAACTATATTTAAAATACATAATGACTGCGCTATATTAAATTTATATTTTTCAATATAAAATTTACTTTTAATTATTTAATAATTACTCTAATGACACTTATTTTCTATAGCTCAATGAGCTACAAGTCTTTTCCTCCATTCCCATAGAGGGTTTTTCCTTCATACTCTTTCTTCCCATAACTTTCTCACTCCTCTAAACCAAAGTTTTAGAACACCACTGCACCGGAGCAACGGTTTCAAAAAGAGAAAACCAAAGAAGCAAACTAGGTAACAAGCATGCTTCTCGCAACTTTTGCTGGCAATTGCAAGAACTGTGTCTCGCATCTCTCTTGACTGGTAATAGGTGGAAATGCAGTAACATAATCACAAAACCACATCAAAGGGTATAATAAAACATTTATTTTATTTTCCTCTCGACTAAAAGCTTATCCAAATAGAATTGTGCCAACGACAAGTCGTTGGTTCAAGTGGTAGTAGACTTAGTAAGATATTCATAAATTTTAAGTAGTAAAGTTAATATTCATATACAAATATGTAGTAATAAACATATAGTTTAACATTTTTTTAGAATAAAAATATGTATTTTAATTATTTTTTACGAGATTTCATATTCTAAAAATATTAAATGATTTTCTTATTTTCAACATCTTTAAAAAAAATTATATAAGTAACAAAATAATCATTTAATCTTTCGTTTCTTACATTAAAACTTTATCTTTTTTAAAAAAGTATAATACAAATTTAGATAAACCATTATCTTTTGACTAAGCTTACTTAACTATAATTAATATGACACGCACACACATACATGAATTTGCTAATTTACAATTACATCATTTTTTTAAAAAGAGTAAGTTAACAAATTACATCTAGATGTATTTTAAAAAATATTACGTTATAACTTACTAATATACTCCTTTTAAAAAAGAAGAGAATGTATGTTAACAAATCCCACATATATTTGATAACTTGCCCCATTTATTTTTAAGAAAAATCAAGTTAACAAACTACACTCAAATTCATTTTTTTATAAAAAAAAATATACTTAAAAAGTAATATATTGATTTTAACTTTCTTTTACAACATAAAACACAAAAGACAATGGAATACTTAATTTTTAAGTAGTATATTTTATTATTATTATTATTATTATTATCATTATTATATATATATATATATATATATATAACTATTGATATAAAAAAAAACTTAATGGGGGAATTTGTCCCCACTTCCACCAAAATGGATTTGTCTTTGAGTGGACTCAGTCATTTTAAGTAAGATTTGAGTTTTGTGTATGAAAACAACGTAATTGGGATAAAAGATCCTATTATGTTAGTAGTGAGTCAAATTTTTTTGACAAAGATTAATCATCACCAAAATTGATAAATATTTCATATCAATAATATAATTAAAAAAATTTATTAAAAAATCTTTTGCTTATCTGCTGTAACATGTTCCCATCTTTGTTGCCTTTTCACTCTGTCGTAACTCTAGATCATCATAATAACATTTTCAAATAAGGGATAGGAAAGCAAATTTCTCTCGTCTTTACCAAGTTACAGTCAATATATAGTTACAAGGATTCAACAAATTTGGGACAACAGCCATTTTATGCAACAAAATTAGAAGAGCAAGTCTATATCTATCTTTTCTTCCTAGTACCAAAGGTCACGTGCAAACCAACTAACCAAGCATACCCTCTTCAGAGAGGAATGACTACCTGTATTTTCTTATGATCCCCCGCATCGTTTAGAGATTTTATATTTGTACATTTATCTTCCCTGATCACTCACTTTTACCTATTTATTTCTTTCTTTATTTATCTCTTCATTCTACCTATACACTCCAAATTTTTATTTTTTCCATCGTTTATCACATTCACATTGTAATAGTAAACTGAATATGACACCGGTAGTAGTACAAATTTGTGAAGAAAAGTAGTCCAATACTAAGAGTCTAAGACCCACCATTTAAAATTGCAGAAAACATCATAATTTGATAACATACTAGGATGATCGGGGTTTGAATTGCCCATGGGCCATTTCGAAATCTGATTCTTATGTTATCTGATTTCTTGTTGACATATATGGACTTGTTGGTTGTCATCCGCTTTCTTGTCGCTTTGGGCCCATTTCAACTATCATGAGAGGATTTTCTTCCGAT